TTGAAGGTGAAAGTGAAGAGCGGATGCTGTCTATTTTTGATATGAAGAATTCCAGAAACCGGTTGCAGTTTATATCTGTGTGGTTGTAGAATGAGGAGACCTGTGGTTTGAGAATATGGCTGATTGTGGAAAAGAGTTTTCTGGAATTACCTGGGTTATTGTTGATGAGCGAGGAGTAGTAATTGGACCTGGCCTTGGAGAGGGCTGTTGCATAATTTCTGCGATGTTCCCGGTAGGCCAATTTATGCACCGTCAGGCCAGATGTTTTATATCCCCGTCCAGGCCCCGGCCCAAGACCTTTTCCCTTTTGCCTTAGCTCTTTGGGGTTTTGAAAAAGGAGGGGAACGGGTGAAAATGTGAAGTCCGGGTTATTAAAAAGGAAATGAAAATCCGGGGATGGATTTGAGGCTTGTGTTGTTGGAAGAATTCCATTAATTTCACGGTGATGAGAGGGAGGGGGGGGAAAGATGCTGAAGTTTTGTGAGTTTGAAGGATGGGGGAATAAATTGTTTTTGAGTTTCGGGAAAGTGTTTATGGCGTTTTGGGTTTTTGGGTAAAAAATTTTTTATTTGGGGGATTTCCTAAATGTAACTGCCAGGTGATTGGGGCCCCAAAAAACGTATATTTTGATTGGTTTGTGTGAGGGGAAAGGGGGAGCAGTTATAAAAAAGGGTCCGAGTTCCCCTTTTGCTGTGGGGGGGGCCATCGGGTCAGCTGTTAAAAGTTTTAAAGACAGCCCAAAAACCCTTTTTTGAATTGGGCGCAGACGGGAAAATTTGTGTGGTCCATGTGTATATTGAGATCCCCAAATTTTAAAAAGAATTTTTTTGAGTGGGGTGTGCAGAGAGGGGTTTAGGAACTGATAAATTTGTCAGAAAATAAAATTTGGGTTTTGTGGTTTAGGGGGGCGATTTGGGAAAGCACGTAGCAAGGAGAAAGGATTATTGCTTTTAAAAAACAAGGTTTTTCCAAAGGGGGAAAAACCCACCGGGTTTAAAAGACAGGGGGGGAAAATGCAAAGTAGCTCCCGAAATAAAACAGAAAGGGGCCCCCCACCCCCCCCATTTTGTGGGGTTTTTGTCCAGGTATGAGTCCCCTTGTGGGCAGGCCCCCCTTTTCAGGTGGGACCCTGTAGAACCGGGTGTTGCCCCAAGTCTAGTGGGGCAGAGAATGTCTTTTTTCTTTGTCCAGAATGTGTTCGGGGGGTAAATTCCGGGATTTCTTTGACATTTGGATTTGCCAAAAAAAAAAAAAAAGGCTTTTCCCCTTATGATGGGGGAAATTGAGCCCAAATTTTATGCAGGAGCGGAAAACGTGGAAATCCACCCCAGGTCTTCCGTTCCCCGGGTTTTCCAACTCACCCAAATCTGGGGGTGGGCATAGCGGCGCTCAGATGACGCAGAATGGGGAAAAGGGGGTACCTTTTTGCGCGACAGGACGTGATCCCCGCCCCAGAAGGATGCGATGGAGTGGGGTCACCGCTTTTGGGCTTTAAAAGGCGGCGCCCGGACCCCGGTGGTGTAACGGGGTCGACGTGGAAGTTTAAAGGGAGCTTTGTTGTTGGGGAATCCGAAGGGGTTTGGGTTTCGTGGTGTCGATGGGGCAAAAAGGGGCGTGAGGGGTTGGGGCGGTGTAAACAGTTGGGCCAGGACCATTTGGAGCTTTGGGGGGAAAAAAAACCCCATCCCCAAAAGGGATGATCCACGCTTAAACAGGGTGGGTTTTTCCATTCACAGACCCCGGGCGGGGAAGGCGGACAAAATGGAAAAATTTATAAAGGAGGGATGGTGCTGATAGCACTCTTTTAAACAGAAGAGTTGCCCCGGCACTCTGTTAGCGTACCCCAACCCAAACAAGTTCCCAGGGGGAACGGGCCCGACGTGCAGAGAAAATTTCCGGGGAGGGAAAATATAGCATTTTAAAAACCTCTCCGTGGGGAAATTCCCAGTTTGTTTGGAAAAAAAAAAAAAGGGAAAAGCGGGAAATTTGGGGGTTTTGGGAAGCCCAGAAAAAAAAGGACGATTCCCCTTAAAGCAGTGTCCGGATTTAAAAGTGACGGGGTAAGTCCAGGGTACCACAACAAAATTCGGTGTGTACTACCAAAAAAATCTTTCTTTTTACTGTAGTAACTGAGTTTCCAGAATACGGTACAGTAGGAGGGGGTTTTGCAGAAAAGGACAGATTTTGACGGAAATTTTCAGAAGAAAAGGCGGGAAAAGCCAACGCCCGCGTTTCCCCTCTCCCAAAAACAGGACCCTGTTTTATGGAGAAACCCTCGGTGGCCCTTTAGCTAAAAAGAGAAACCCGTTGATGGGAACCATCCGGGTGGTTTTAGCTAAAGCAGACCACCTGTTTATGGGGAAAACCCTCGGATTGGGTTCAGCTAAAGCAGAGCCCCCTGTTGATGGGAGAACCATTTGGATGGCTTCAGCTAAAGCAGGGCCCCCTGTTTTATGGAGAACCCCAAAAAAATGGCTTCAGCTAAAAACAGGACCACCCGTTTATGGAAAAACCATGGATGGTTCAGCTAAAACGAGACAACCTGTTGATGGGGAACCATTTTGGGTGGTTCAGTAAAAGACCACCCTGTGGTTTGGGGAACCCTCGGATTTGCTTCAGCTAAAGCAGAGACCCCTTTGATGGGGAACCATCGGGTGGCTTTCGGGTTTAAAACAGACCACCTTTTTGATGGAGAACCCCTCGGTTGGGGTTCGCTAAAGCAGACCATGTTGATTGGGGAAACCATCGGATGGCTTTTTAGTAAAGGGAGAAAACCCCCCTGTTGTGGAGAAAACCCTCGGATGGTTTCAGCTAAAGCAGAGACAACCGTTGATGGAGAACCCTTGATGGCTTCAGCTTAAAAGCAGCCCCCTGTTTTAGGAGAAACCAAACGGAAGGGTTAAGGGTTTAAAACAGAGGAAACCCCCTTTTTGATGGGGAACCTCGGATGGCTTCAGCTAAAGCAGCCACCTGTTGATGGAGAACCATCGGATGGGGTTCAGCCCAAAACCCGGCCACCTGGGTTTAGGAGAACCAAACGGATGGTTCAGCTAAAACAGAGACCACCTGTGATGGAGAACCTCGGATGGCTTTCAGCCCAAAGCAAAAGACCCAACCCGTTGATGGGAACCATAAAATGGCTTCAGCCTTTAAAGCAGACCAACCCGGTTTATTTGGGGAAAAAATCCGATGGCCTTTCACCCAAACGGGACCCCCTGTTGATTGGGGGAACCAAACGGATTGGCTTTAGCCCAAAGCAAAAGACCGGAAAACCCCCTTTATGGGAGAACCATCGGTGGCTTCAGCAAAAAACAGAGAAACCTTTTTGATGGAGAACCATCGGATGGCTTCAGCTAAAACAGGCCACCGTTATGGAGAAACCCTCGGATAGTTCAGCTAACGCAAGGAACCCCCTGTTTATGGGAGAACCCTCAGATGGCTTCAGCTAAAGCAGGGCCCCCCTGTTTATGGAGAAAACCCCGGGGTGGCTTCAGCTAAAAACAGGGGCCCTGGTTTATGGAGAACCATCGGATTGGCTTCCGTTTAAAACAGAGACCACCCGTTGATGGAGAAACCCTCGGGTGGGGTTCAGTTTAAAACAGAGGACAACCTGTTGAAAGGGGAACCCTCAGATGGCTTCAGCTAAAACCCGACCCCCCTGTTGATGGAGAACCACGGATGGCTTCGTTTAAAGAGAACCCCTGGGTTTATTTGGGGAACCCTCGGATGGTTTTAGCTAAAGCAGACCAAACCCGTTGATGGAGAACCAAAGGATGGGTTCAGCTAAAGCAGGGCCCACTGTTGATGGAAGAAAACCCTCGGGGTGGCTTCAGGGTAAAGCCCGGACCCCGCTGTTGATGGGAACCATCGGAAAGGGGTTCAAACTAAAAGGGAAAACCTTGTTGATGGAGAAAAACCTTTAAAATGGCTTCAGCTTTAAAACACACCACCTGTTGATGGGGGAACCATCAGATGGCCCTTTACCCCAAAGCAAAAGACCAACCCGGGTTTTTGGAAAAACCCCCTCGGAAAGGCCTTTTAGCTAAAACAGACCACCCGTTGATGGAAGGGAACCACCCGGAAAGGCTTTGCTAAAGCCGGACCCCCTGTTTATGGAGGAACCCCCCGGGGGGGGGGGGGGCCCTTTAGCTAAAGCAAAACCCAAACCCGTTGATGGGAGAAACCCTCGGATGGCTTTTAGCCTTTTAAAAACAAAAGACAACCCGTTTATTTGGAAAAACCTTTGGATGGCTTCGCTTTAAACAAAACAGGGGGACAACCTGTCTTTGGGGTTTTTTGGGGAACCATCGGGTGGCTTTAGCTAAACGAGACCACCGGGGGATGGAAAAAATCGGGGTGGCTTCAGCTAAAGCACAGACCACCTGTTGTTTGGGGAACCCTCGGATGGCTTCCCGCTAAAACAAAACCACCTGTTGATGGAGGAAACCCCGGAGGGGTTCAGTAAAAAGCGAGACCACCTGTTGATGGAGAACCATCCCCGGGTGGCTTCCCGTAAGAACCCCGGGGGGAAAAACCTTTTATCTTGTTGTGGAAGGGAAACCCTCGGGGTGGCTTTAGCTAAAGCAAAAACCACCTGTTGATGGAGAAACCCTCGGATGGTTCAAACTAAAAGCAGGGGACACCCTTTTTTGATGGGAGAACCAAACGGATGGTTCAGCTAAAGCACCCCCTGTTGATGGAGGGAAACCCTCGGATTTGGTTTTAGCTAAAGCAGAAAAACCCCCCTGTTGATTTGGGGAACCCTTCGGTGGCTTCAGCTAAAACAGAGCCACCTGTTGTGCTTTTAGCTAAAGTTAGCTGCTGCTAGTGCTGGGTCACCCCGGGGCGCAGGGCAGGGGGGTAGTTTCGTTTTTTTATTTCGGCTATAAAGTAAACGGGAGAAAGGGGAAACAAAAAAAACAAAAAAAACCGACCCCTATCTAGCTAGGCCCGGGCTAGGAGTTAGCTTAGCTCCAGGTTAGCTTCTGTGCTAAGGTTACCTCCTCGCCCGCTGATTTTCCAGCTGCGTCCAGATGTTGCCCTGTCATCTCTGGGAATCTCCCCAAAGCACCGAAGGTCCGGGAAAAGACTTCCTGTCCAGAGAATTCCCAGCAGGAATGCCGATCTACTGCATCTGGATCTATCTGACGGTGAATCTTTGACCAGGAACTGATGGTGCGTTCAAGGTCCTGCGTATAAACCACCTCCGCCGACTTTCTTCACAGGTTCTTTTAATGTGAGCTCCTTTGAAAAAGATGCTGCGCTTTAATGTGGTTTACGATTAAAATATCGGCGCAATAATGTTTCCTTAAGTTCAGATATTTACCAGAAAATACATAAAAATGTAACATTTAGGATGAAAAGCAGAATCTCAACAGTTTGATCGCCCGGATTTTAGGTTAGCTCTGAATTCCTACGATTTCGAGAATCACCTGAACGCGTATTTTACCAACCAGATCACTTCCTGCATTGTTTGTTTTTTCTCTGCTTTCATGAAAACATCCAGAAGTAATGTAGATCCAGTGATCTAGAAGTGTTTGCAGCGGTAATAACAGCTGTTTACCTTAAACTCATCTCCAACCAACTCAGCAGATAGAAAATAACTTTTAATCCAAACCTTCTTATTGTTGACTGCTGCTGCTACGTCACAGCATGATGAGGAGAACCATAAATCCATATTTATTTTCTGTAAAACATTCATCTTATTTTTTCATATAAATGTTTTTTACGGAAAAATAGCAAAAAAAAAAAATGTAATTCTGTTATTTTAGTTATTTTACACACAAACAGAGGAGATTTAAATACGTATGAAACTTTGGTCTCAGCAACATTTTGATGAGAAATAAAGCAGATGGTTGAAAAAAAAACACATAAAAACAAATATAAAATATTCAAATGAAAACATCATGAAAGGCTCTAAATTCACACGATGGAGATGAGAGGTTTTTATTGTTTAACGCTGATTCAACAAAACAAAATGTTCTGTGAAATGCACTGCTGGGCTGATGCATCTGTCAGATCAAAGCTTGTTCAACTCAATTTAAAACAAACTTTATTGACTCCAGAGAAAATAGCGAATAACTGTCCTGTGAACAGAAAGCAGATCAGGCCTACGGCCAAATGAGCCAAACTTTTCCCTCCCTGCTGTCATGTCACTCATTATTCCTTAAATTTAGATCAAAATTACAATTCATCATTTCAATATCAGGAAATTCATACAATCAGTTCAAAGGTTATAATATTCCCAAAGGGAAATTAGGTGATTTTATTACATTACATATTTATTACACATATTTTGTGTATTTCTGTCATATTTCCTTATTATGGTCAGAAAAGGAGAAAATTACATCAGGCCAATAAAAATAGAATTTCTTATACAGAAATGTTTCATTGTGAGCAAATCTATAGAATAATAGGAAGAATACTGACTGATACCTCAGCATTGCTAAACTACAAGACCCCCAGCATGGCCAAACTACAGGACCCTCAGCATGAATAAACTACAAGACCCTCAGCATGAATAAACTACAAGACCCCCAGCATGGCTAAACTACAAGACCCCCAGCATGGCCAAACTACAGGACCCTCAGCATGAATAAACTACAAGACCCTCAGCATGAATAAACTACAAGACCCCCAGCATGGCTAAACTACAGGACCCCCCACATGGCTAAACTACAGGACCCCCCCCATGGCCAAACTACAGGACCCCCCACATGGCTAAACTACAGGACCCTCAGCATTGCTAAACTACAGGACCCCCCACATGGCTAAACTACAGGACCCCCCCCCCCATGGCCAAACTACAGGACCCCCCACATGGCTAAACTACAGGACCCCCCACATGGCTAAACTACAGGACCCTCAGCATTGCTAAACTACAAGACCCCCAGCATGGCTAAACTACAGGACCCCCCACATGGCTAAACTACAGGACCCCCCCCCATGGCCAAACTACAGGACCCTCAGCATTGCTAAACTACAAGACCCCCAGCATGGCCAAACTACAGGACCCTCAGCATGAATAAACTACAAGACCCTCAGCATGAATAAACTACAAGACCCCCAGCATGGCTAAACTACAGGACCCCCCACATGGCTAAACTACAGGACCCCCCCCCATGGCCAAACTACAGGACCCCCCACATGGCCAAACTACAGGACCCTCAGCATGAATAAACTACAAGACCCTCAGCATGAATAAACTACAAGACCCCCAGCATGGGTTAACTACAGGACCCTCCGCATGGCTAAACTACAGGACCCCCCACATGGCTAAACTACAGGACCCCCCACATGGCTAAACTACAGGACCCCCCCCCATGGCCAAACTACAGGACCCCCCACATGGCTAAACTACAGGACCCTCAGCATGAATAAACTACAGGACCCCCCACATGGCTAAACTACAGGACCCTCAGCATGAATAAACTACAGGACCCCCCACATGGCTAAACTACAGGACCCCCCACATGGCTAAACTACAGGACCCTCAGCATGAATAAACTACAGGACCCCCCACATGGCTAAACTACAGGACCCCCCCCATGGCCAAACTACAGGACCCCCCACATGGCTAAACTACAGGACCCCCCCCCCCATGGCCAAACTACAGGACCCCCCACATGGCTAAACTACAGGACCCCCCCCCATGGCCAAACTACAGGACCCCCCACATGGCTAAACTACAGGACCCCCCCCCATGGCCAAACTACAGGACCCCCCACATGGCTAAACTACAGGACCCCCCCCCCCCATGGCCAAACTACAGGACTCCCCACATGGCTAAACTACAGGACCCCCCCCCCCCATGGCCAAACTACAGGACCCCCCACATGGCTAAACTACAGGACCCCCCCCATGGCCAAACTACAGGACCCCCCACATGGCTAAACTACAGGACCCCCCCCCCCATGGCCAAACTACAGGACCCCCCACATGGCTAAACTACAGGACCCCCCCCACATGGCTAAACTACAGGACCCCCCACATGGCTAAACTACAGGACCCCCCCCATGGCCAAACTACAGGACCCCCCACATGGCTAAACTACAGGACCCTCAGCATGAATAAACTACAGGACCCCCCACATGGCTAAACTACAGGACCCTCAGCATGAATAAACTACAGGACCCCCCACATGGCTAAACTACAGGACCCCCCACATGGCTAAACTACAGGACCCTCAGCATGAATAAACTACAGGACCCCCCACATGGCTAAACTACAGGACCCTCAGCATGAATAAACTACAGGACCCCCACATGGCTAAACCAGTAAAGGTCACCACTGAGGAAAGGTTCCGAGTTCAAGCCCCACTGCCTCCACTCTGAGTCCCTGAGCAAGATCCTTAACCCCACCCTGCTCCCCGGGCGCCACACAATGGCAGCCCACTGCTCCCCAAGGGGAGGGGTTAAACGCAGAGAGGGAATTTCGTCGCTCTGTACTGGTGACGGAGAAATGATGATAAAATCCTGTAAAAGTGTGGAAATGAGGCTAAAATGAAGCTAGCAGCAGCCTTCAAACAATAAAGTCAGTTTTAAACCAGGATTTGTTGTTACCATGGAGATGTATAGCCTGACGTAGTCCTACTCAATTCTAGTCAGAATGAGTCTGATGCTGCTCCATAGAGCTGTGATTATGGGGCGTGTTTCGAACGAACCAGGAAAAAAATGCCTCTGCACTCAATTGGATAGACCTACAACCAATAAGAGCAACGGAGTGCGTGACGTATGTTAAGCAATGCATAGTTGTTGTCAACAAAAATCAAAGCGTGCAGTTGCACGCCTAGAATAAGAAGATGAGCCTTGATCGCGTTTCTCTGTTCCTCTTTTAAAATTAATTTGCTGTCGATATCTTCTAGAACAGACCTAATAGCAGAATCTACTCACCTCAACTCTCCAGCGGCAGCCATTGTTGTTGTCACCCAAGCGCGCTTTGGTCACGTGGTTGATTACGTTACTGTTGATCATCTGTCCATCATCGTATAAAGCCCGCCCTGACAATTTGATTGGATCGCCAGAGGGTGGGCGATAATACTCGCGCTACTATGGAGCAGAGCCAGACCGAACTTCCCGACCTCAAACTTTGTGGGCGGGACTAAGTTCGGAATGGCACCCAGGCTAAGAGATGTATTTACCTCCTCTGAAACAAGCAGTTCCCCTCTGAACCAGGAGGTGGCAGCATTCATACCACTATGGGAATGTGCTACTTTGACATGTTAATATAAGTAAATTAACCAAGAAGTGTCAAAAAAAATATATGACAGTCGATATAATTCTATTTAGTTGGTTTCTATAGCTCCAATTCACATCCTTTCATCTCAGGTTCATTTATAGAAACAGTTCAACCAGATCATCCGGTCAGATTGATTCAAAGTTTTCTATCTAAGGAAAACCAGCTGATTGCATCGACTCATTGACTCTTCAGCAATCCCTCACACTAAGCATGCTTGTAGCGACAGTGGAGAGGAAGAACTCCCTTTGAACAGGAAGAAACCTCCAGCAGAACCAGGCTCAGTGTGTATACCTGCTCTATAATAACTGTTCTATAATGACTGTTCTGTAATAACAATTCTATAATTACTTTGTTCTATAATACTTTGTTCTATAATGACTTTTCTATGATTACTCTGTTCTATAATAACTCTTCTATAATGACTGTTCTATAATAACTGTTCTATAATGACTGTTCTATAGTGACTCTGTTCTATAATAACTGTTCTATAATGACTGTTCTATAATGACTCTGTTCTATAATAACTGTTCTATAATGACTCTGTTCTATAATGACTCTGTTCTATAATAGCTGTTCTATAATAACTGTTCTATACTGACTCAGTTCTATAATGACTGTTCTATAATAACTGTTCTATAATGACTCTGTTCTATAATGACTGTTCTATAATGACTCTGTTCTATAATGACTGTTCTATAATGACTCTGTTCTATAATAACTTTTCTATAAAGGCTGTTCTATAATGACCGTTCTATAATAACTGTTCTATACAGACTCTGTTCTATAATGACTGTTCTATAATGACTGTTTTATAATGACTGTTCTATACTGACTCTGTTCTATAATGACTGTTCTATAATGATTGTTCTATAATGACTGTTCTATAATGACTGTTCTATAATGACTGTTCTATAATGACTGTTTTATAATGACTGTTCTATACTGACTCTGTTCTATAATGACT